TATTGTGCAGTTTATATTAGTTAAATTAGTTACATTTATATAACTATACAGTGGCTGTTATATAAGAATTGAAGTGTAGACCCACATTCGTGCACTCAAGAGTTGAAGGACTTCAGGATATGAGTGCATTGCCTATATTATTAAATAATACATAGAAAGTAGATATTAAATGTACTGTGGTATAACCTATCAGTGCTCTCTGTGTTCTAGATGGCTCTGACAAAACATAAGGGTCTGTTTGAGCTTCTGGAGATGGAGGGGCGGAGTCTACTGGACTTCTCCTTTCAGTGATCTGATGTCATTGATGGACATGGCTGCACAGACGCCGCCTCGTTGGCCACCAGGACTGCCATAGTGACCATGCTGGAAGAACTGGCCCCAAACCTGTGGGATGATGACCTGGACTGCATAACAGAATTCGGTCATGTAATCAGCCATGTGCTGGAAATGGTAAGAAGGATGTATTTAAGTCATGTAAAGATGTCAGGTTAGGTTAAACCCACCTGAATTTATGTTTATATAAAGGCTAATGCTTAAAGTGCTAATTTGGCAAAAAACATTCGAACATAAAGGCATTTAAAACTTTTATACCATTTCCCCCTTACCCCTAATGTAGTCGGCTGAATGTGCAGTCATATGTAAATGTGTTCATCAAACTAAAATTCATCACAAAAGACTCACTAAAGACTCGAGACCCGACTCAGACTCATACCTCAGAGACTCGAGACTCAATTCAGACTCACACCCGAGACTCAAGACAGCTCAGAGTCTCAATGCGTACTCGCACCACTCAAGACTCAAGACTCAAGACTTGACTTAGACTCGCCCCTCACAGACTTGAGGCTTGACTCAGAATCAGACTTCAACTTGTATGCCAGAGAATTGAGACTTGATTAAGACTCACACATCAAAGACTCAGTTAAGACTCACACGTCAGAGACTCGAGACTTGAGTCAGCTCACACCTTTAACGAGGCTTTTGTGTCTGTGCTGCAAACGGTGCTGCCCGAGCTGCTGCATGGAGAAGCAGTGAACACAGACATGGCCTTTATGCTGTACGTGGCTCAAGAGTGAGGCTTTTTAACAGAAGAAGAAGTGAAGCGCATCATTTCCTGTATGAAATGTCTGGAGCTTCCTGTCTGGCATCAGCAGTGCTCTCTGGATCTGGTGCAGAAATCTCTCAGTAAACGGCTCCAACTCTCCGGTGGGAAGATGAGGATGTCTCTGTATGAAGCGTATGAAGCATGAAAGCATGAAAGTATAAAGCAAACATTAATTATCTTGAGCCACAAAACCTGAAAATCATCCACATACATACAAGTCTACCTGGCATATAACATGATACTGATTCTGATAAAGCAATTCTGATTTTAGATGAAGTGATTTTCATTCTGATAGTGATTCTGATTCTGATAAACTTATTCCAATCTGATAAAGTGATTCTGAGTGTGATTAATTGATTCCGGTCTGATAAAGTGATTGTGAATTTAATCAAATTATTCTGATTCTGATAATTTTTTCTTGTTCTGAATCTAATGTAATTCTGATAACGATTCTGATTCTGATGGTTATTGTGATGGTGACTCAGATGACGTGATTCTGAATCTGATAAACTAATTCTGATTCTGTTACATTGATACTTGTTCTAAATCGGATAGTGATACTGCTCTAATGCTCGAAAAGTGATCTGATAGTGATTCTGCTTCTGATAGTGATTGTAGTTCTCATAAAGTGATTCTGATTCTGATGAAGTGATTTTGATTCTGATGAAGTGATTTTGATTCTGAAAATGTTTCTTTTTCTGATACTTATTCTAGTTATGTTTGTGATAAAGATATTGTGATTGTGTTAGAATGATTCTGCAGGGTTTTCTTTGTTTTTACTTTCTTCCACTAGTAATGTATATTATAATCACTATAATACATCTTCTGTTTCAGAAATCTTCAATGACACGGATAATGCCACCCTATGTCAAGCATTCAAGAAATGGTGTGAAGAACTTGGCACTGGAAATGAAAACAACTACTTGAAACTAAATAAATAAATACGTAGACTCAACATAGAACATCTCTAAACTTAGACCAGAGGCATTAATGCATTTTACTATGCTTAACTTGTTAAAATGCTCTCTTAGTCCATAAATATAATACAAGAGTTACAAGATCCAACACACTAACCATGTACAACATGCAAACTTTCAATAAACAAGTCAAAATGATTCACAAGTTCAACTGAATCAAATGTTTTTGAAGAGTCTAAGCAATGTGGAGTCCTAGAACATCACAACGTAAACACCACACTAGTGTATGAGGAACCACTTGAATTGAAAGTCCTTTAATATAATGGAGATAAACACATTTAAACTTGACTTAAGAATCAACGAATCAATTGACATTTGATTCAGAGCGGTTTGGTGTGAAATGGTTCAGATTTCTTGACAGTGATGGTGATAGGAACCAGGGGTTGCCATGACTACAACACAAATATATACATTTTATTTACTATCCAAAACCACCACTGAACCTACATGTGTATTTCGAATTTCTAGAGTCCTTTAACTTGTTAATTTTTTTAAATTGTAATTTTAATTACCTGTTTATTTCATCTTTTGTAAAGCACTTTGAATGACCACTGTATATGAAAGGTGCAATAGAAATAAACTTGTCCTGCCTTAGAAACAACATCTTTGAGCTGTAATTCAGTGTATATGAAAGACAATAAATTAGCCTTGTGCATCAGTGAATAATTTGTAAGTTTGAAAGAGACAGTTTGAAAGAATCAATTTAGCAAATTGAATCAGACTTCACATTTATTAGGTTTCTACTAATGGCTCAAAAGAAAAATCTTATCACACATATAATTTACACACCAACATAGCAATATTTTAAAATATTAGAAAAACCAGGAACAGCCTTGTGAGGAACTAGAGACCTTCTGACCATTTAGGGATAGCCATCTGACCACTCAGAGTTCTTCTTACCAATCAGGGACAGTCTTCTGACCAGTTAGGGACCTTCTGACCAATCAGGGACAGCCTTCTAATTAATCTGTGACAGCCCTCTGCTCAATGGGTGAAAGCCCTCTGACCAATCAGGGTTTGGTTCTTCTGACCAATCAGGGACCTTCTGACCAATCAGGGACAGCCTACTAACCAATCAGGAATAGCCTTCTGATCAAGCAGGACCAGCCCTTGGACCAATTAGGAACAGCCTTCTGACCACTCAGGGACCTTCTGACCAATCAGGAACAACCTTCTGATCAATTGGGAACAGTGGACGGGTTGGGCTGGGTAATCGGTCACTTTAAATCGTTTCCGCACTGCTGCATGCTCAGAAAAGCAGAGTTAGAAGTCATTTAAAAGGGAATTACCAGGTTATGCTACAGTGATGTTTGGCTAAAGTCCCATTTTAAGTACATGCAATCACACATGGGTGTCACACGGTCTCTCTGCACGAAACCTGATTGCTACGATGCTGAAATTATTGCTAAAAATTACTAAAAGATCCACGTGAGGACACTCAGTATTTTAATTGCATATTCAGACACTAGTTTTGGAAAAGCATTCTGGCAGTCAACACTGTATTAGGTTACATTCAGAAATAAACATTCAGTAGTATTTTCCTTCTGGCAGGACTAGTTATAAGGTAACTGGAGTCTCTTCCGTGTGGACGCTAGAAAGTTTGGGGACTTGTGACGTTTTAAAATGGTTTTAATGCAAACTGCTTTCTCGTATTGCTGTAAGAGACTGTATTAAAGGGGCCGTATCATTGAAAACCGTCTTTGCCCTGCCCTTCAAGTTACACTAGAGTTGAAGTTTTTAAAGTTTTGAAGTTTTTGTCACTGCTGGACTGAGAATAGTCCACCAAACAAAAACATCCAGCCAACAGTGTCCTGTGACCACTGATGAAGGACTAGAGGATGACCAACACAAACTGTGCAGCAGCAGATGAGCTATCATGTCTGACTTTACATCTACGAGGTGGACCAACAAGGTAGGAGTGTCTAAGGATGGGCCTACACTACACGATTTTTGCCAGATTTTAATCCCTATTTGCCCCTTGCGACAAATTTTCACAATCTAAAGCGATTTTCCAAGCCAGGAGCTTGATCGCAAGCGACTGATGGCGCGGATGATCTGGTAGCGTGAAAAAAGAAACGAGCTAATCTTTTGCCCTCCCATCGAACTCTGAAGTGATCAGAGGCCCTCCGATATTATCAAACATATTTGATACTTTTTAAAATTTGAAATTATCATATAGTAGGACTTTTTATCGCAAAACGTTGACTTTATTCTCGAAGTCTACTATTTTTTATATTTTTTACAGTGGCCCTAAAACACTGTTGCAGTCCTGACCATTGAAGAACAGGGTAACATACAAGTATGGAGAGAAACAGATGGACTACAGTCTGTAACTGTAGAACTACAAAGTGAAACTATATGGTCACTGGAGCTGATAAGATGGACAGTGAGTGCAGAACATAGTGTTCCTAATAAAGTGCTCAGTGAGTGTATATACACACTTGCATTTATATGCATGGTTTGACATCAAGCAGCATGTTAGTGATGAAGGAACTAGTGCAAACAGTGTGTTCAATAATGTGACCGTTTTGGAGGAGAAGCTGTTGCAGGGTCTGGAGGTGGTGGAACAGGTGCTCCGGTACCTTCTGCTAGGTAGCAGGCGGGTGAAGAGGGGTGGGAGGGGTCGTCCATGGTGCTGGTGGCTTGTAGCTTTTGTGTTAGAAGGTGTAAAGACACTTGATGATCTTCTCAGCTGTCCTGGACACTGGACAGAGTAGATTTTTTTTTGGCACAGGGCAGACCTGAGTCCAAATAGCACAAAAGAAAAAGATCTGGCAGTGAAGAATATTCAGTCTTGTGTAATAAAATGCTGTTATGGGGCCAACAGGGGACCATGGCCTGTTGGGGGCGCCCCTGTTAAAGCCCCTAGAGCCTTCCCACCCCACCCTGTGCTGAAGAGTACAGTATACTGTAAGGGGTGTTAATATTTCTGCCTGAACTCTGGAGGATCATGTCCTTCACAGAGGAGCCCAAACTTACCATCAGTAACTCAAACGCTACTGAATACTGTTTAATCAAAGTTAAAGACACATGGAGTCGACAGATTGGACACTGTGAACAAGGACATGGAGAGGGACACCGGTCAGATGCCAAAATGTGAGAAAACCCACTTATTTATAATTATTTTTTTGGCATCTAGTGCTGCAAATAATAGTATTCCTACTACATAAGTATTAGTATAAAAACTAAATTAGTACTAAATAACGGTGTACAGCATTGTTTTTCCACTGATTTCTTTTTTGCTGCAGCATATAAAATCAATTTTTGATTTCAACTTTTGTTAAGTTCTAATTTTACAAATCTATTTTCTCAATGACCAAAAAACAAAAAAAAAAATTAAAAAGAATTTATAAAGGTATTATTATTTTTATTATTGTTATTATAATACAATAAACTGTAGTCTGTTTTTCAAGTGTAATAGTCATCTCCTGTAGGTAGTAGCAGTAGAGATGTATGTATATGTGTATGTGTGTCTATATGTGTATGTGTATGTATGTGTAGCTGAAATTCTTTTCTATTTAAAGATCTGACCTTACAGTCAGCACTCACACATGTGTACATGTTTTTTTTATAGAGGAGTTTTAAACAAGCTTGAAATACACCAAGTCTCAGATCTCACCACTTCTATTAACTTTGCAACAGTAATAATAATAATAATAATAATAATAATAATAACCTTGTAGTTCTGTGATTGTACAGTATGTAATGAGTCTTTTGTAAATGAAGGAAATTTGGCGTTTTCATAACTAGTTTGAATCAAGACACCACATTTGCTAATTAAATTGTGTTCTGTCTGAAGGTAAAGATTTTATTGTAGCTGCTGCCTAATACAGATTTGAAACACAGGTGTGAAGTGATGTTGAACAGGTGGCATTTATCATGCAAAATACATTTATTACTAAAAGACACGTCTAAAGAGTACTCTGTAAAATAAATACCAAAATTTTAAAGGTCTCAGTGGAGATCTTGAGAGCCAGTTGGTCCAAAGCACAAAAACTATATTTTTATGGCTTTCCAGCAGTCAATCAGTCTTTATCCTTATTATTATTATTATTATTATTATTATTATTACTACTACTACTATTAACACATCTTAGACCAAGGAATAGTCCCTGAAAAGTTCATGCATCAGGCATTTGTAGTAAAAAAATGATCACTTTGATCATGCCCACTTTCTGAAGCCTTGTATCTTAAAAACTAAAGAAGCCACATGCCTAAAATTTTGCACTCTACCTACTGGCCAATTTCTTTACTTCCTGAAAATGTAAAGCAAATATGAGATGTCAAGAATTTATTCTGAAATCTTGTGATATAAGACATTTATTCACGTGCAGTTCTGTGCAAAAGTCTGCAGATTGCTTTAAGAAACTGAAAGTGAGTCTCCTGTAAAGAATGAAAGCTGTAATACAGGTAAAGAGAGACACACTGAGCACACAGCTGGCATTAGATTGAGGCTTCTGTGTCATTTTTTGTTAAATGTAAGCTTTCTCCTTTTTTTGACACAAAAATATTAATAACTTATACTTAATCACTGTTTTGACTGGAAATTAAATAAATCCGGCCTTTTGGATTTTTACAGAGCGACTCTTTATATATTTGTTTTACATTTACTTATCATTAAATTCTGGTATATTTTAAATGAGGCCTAATCTATATTTTAGGAAAATAAATAAGATTTTAGTTAAAATCCTGTCACAACTTCAGAGGTTGCTGAATGGTGTTACCTTGCAGAGTGATTAGCAGATATGATTGGCTTACAACTTATGAGGTCTGATACAATTGGCTTACAACCTACAAGGTCTAATATGATTACAAATTAAAAGAGTCTGATATGATTGGCTTACAACTTACGAGGTCTGATATGATTGGCTTACAACTTACGAGGTCTGATATGACTGGCTTACATCTTACAAGGTCTGATATAATTGGCTTACAACTTCTAAGGTCTGAAATGATTGGCTTACAACTTACAAGGTCTGATATAATTGGCTTACAGTTTACAAGATCTGATATGATTGGCTTACAACTTACACGGGCTAATATGAATGGCTTACAACTTACAAGGTCTGACATGATTGGCTTACAACTTACAAGGTCTGATATGATTGGCTTACATTTCACAAGATCTGATATGATTGGCTTACAACTTACTTGGTCTGATATGATTGGCTTACTTCTTAAGTGGTCTGATATGATTGGCTTACAACTTACGAGGTCTGATGTGATTGCCTTACAACTTTCGAGGTCCGGTATGATTGGCTTACAACTTTCGAGGTCCGGTATGATTGGCTTGCAACTTACAAGGTCCGACATGACTTGTCTAAACCTACGAGGTCTGATATAATTGGCTTACAACTTACGAGATCTTATATGATTGGCTGACACTTTACGAGGTCTGACATGATTGGCTTACAACTTACTTGGTCTAATATGATTGGCTTACAACTTTCAAGGTCTAATATGATTGGCCTACAACTTAGGAGGTCTGATATGATTGGCTTACATCTTACGAGGTCTGATATTATTGGCTTACAACTTACAAAGTCTGATATGATTGGCTTACAACTTTCAAGGTCTGATATGATTGGCTTGCAACTTACAATGTCTGATATGATTGGCTTACATCCTTCAAGGTCTGATATGATTGGCTTACAACTTACGAGGTCTGACATGATTGGCTTACAACTCACGTGGTCTGATATGATTGGCTTACAACTTACGAGATGTTATATGATTAGCTGACAATTTAGGAGGTCTGATATGATTTACTTACAACTTACAAGGTCTGATATGATTGGCTTACAACTAACAAGGTCTGATATGATTGGCTTACAACTAACAAAGTTTGATATGATTGGCTTACAACTTTTGAGGCCTAATATGATTGGCATTCAACTTTGTTTTGGACCCTTAGCTATGAATCCTCTACTGGACATTGTGTTACCTGGACAGTGGTCAGTCCGGTCGTCTTCACCTACAGAATTGTGGAGTGTGAGAACCTTCTGGATGCAAATAACGACACTTTACTCTTCGGGCACATAGCTGACCCTGAAGAAGTCCAAGCCCTTAAGCGAAGTACCAATCTACTGAGGAGGTTTGTGGTCATTGATGAAACCGTTAATGACCTCTATGGAGCCCAGGTGGTTCAGTACTTTGAATCATGGAAAGTTGTGTATAAAATCCTCCCTCTGCCCACCACAGAGGAGAACAAGAATATGATGCTTGTCACCAAAATCCTGGAGGAAGTCCACAGGTAACACACTGAACCTTTTTTCCTTTTTTTTTCTTTTTTCTTGAAGAACGCTTACAATGTTTGTGTGGCTTTATGTTTCAAAAGCAGTCAAAACTAGATGAAGAAAGTTTGTGAACAAACTCTATGTTGTTATTAAATCCCAGGTGGTTGTTAAGGTATTGCTGTTTTATCCCAAGTGGTTGCTAGGTTGTTGCTAGACCATTGCAAAAGAATCCTAGATGGTTGTTAATATGTATGTTTGTGTCCTAGCTTAAAAACTGCAACCTATGAAAATAGGTGCAAAACAATAAAATGAAAAACAAGTTGGCTTTGATGAGCCAAGTAAATTCATTTTTACATGACCATTTTCCAACCTCTTTTTATCCCCTAAGATAAAAGAGACCTTTTACTGTTCCAGTAACACCGATATATGCAAATTGCTTCAGTTTTGACTGGCTGCCCTGTATTGTGCATCATTCAAAAAGTAGTCTGCAGAAAAGACTGAAATCGTAAGGACTGGGGGGAAAAACAAAATTCAGCTACTTCTTGTGAATATGTAGATCCTTTGGAACTGTGAAACAGGTGGAGCTAAGATGCTGCAGGCTGAATGGGTGGGGCTAAACTGCTGTAAGCTGAAGTGTTGCCTGTAGATTCATATTTGCATGACTACTGTTTTATTATCCTGTCACAGGTTTGGCATTGACAGGCGCTCAGAGCCGATCATTGCGATTGGTGGAGGTGTGTGTTTGGACATCGTTGGACTGGCCGCCTCACTGTACCGCAGGAGGACCCCCTACATCCGCGTCCCCACCACACTACTGTCATACATTGATGCCAGCGTTGGGGCCAAGACTGGGGTCAACTTCTGCAGCTGTAAAAATAAGCTAGGCTCTTATACGCCACCTACAGCTGCGTTCTTGGACAGGAGCTTCTTAAGGACCGTTCCACGCCGACATATTTCAAACGGAATGGCCGAAATGTTAAAGGTACCACTGCATGGACTGGACCACAAAAACGGTTAGTTCCTAAAACCTTAGATATTTAGTTATAATTTTAAATATTGTTTTACATTTAATTGACATAATTGCGGTTAACAAATAACAGTTATGTAATGATGCAATTAATTACATATTTACTCAATTAATTACATATACAGTTAAACATTTACCATCAGTCTTTCAGTACTCACTATAAAGTATTCAGCATCTACTATGAATTATTCAGCAACCACTATGAATTATTCAGCATCTACTATAAATTATTCAGTACCTACTAAGAATTCTTCAGTGCCTACTATGAATTATTCAATACTTACTATGAATTATTCAGTATCTAATATGAATTTTTCAGTATCTACTAAGAATTATTTAGTATCTACTATGATTTATTCAGTAACTACTATGAATTATTCAATAACCACTATAAATTATTCAGTATCTACTATGAATTATTCTATATCCATTATGAATTATTCAATATCTACTATGAATTATTCACTGTTTACTATGAATTGTTCAGTACCTACTATAAAGTATTCAGTGGTTTCTTTGCATTAATCAGAATCTACAATTAATTATTCAGTACATATTATGAATTATTCAGTAACTACTTATTATTTGGTATGTACAGTTCAGTTTTTGCATCTGCAGTGAATTATCCAGTATGCACTATAAATTATTCAGTATGCACTATAAATTATTTAGTATGTACTAGAAATTATTCTGCATCTACTATAATTTATTCAGTATCTACTTTGTATTTTTCAGTATCTACTAAGAAATAGTAACTTTAATGAGTTATTGAGCCTCATTTTCTCCTATTGTTTGATATTGGGTTGTTATTAGACCACAATATTTTAGCTTTCCATTGTTTTACTGATATTCCTGTGTAGAGCACTTTGAACTTTTGTTGCTAAAACCTAAAATGTTATATCACTAAAGAATTATTATTATTATTGTTATTATTATTAGTAGTAGTATTATTATTATTATTGTTGTTGTTGTTGTTGTTATTATTATTATTATTATTATTCACTATCTGCTATGAATTGTTCTGTATTTAAATTAAAACTGTCTCACATATGACCCACTTACAGACCTTTGGAGTTAGAGTCATTTGGTGCAGTTTATATTTGCTAAAATAGATATAATTCTATATCTACATTAATATAGTTATAGTAGTTGCTGTTAAATAAGAATTGATTTGTAGACCCACATTTGTGCAGTTAAGAGTTTACAGACTTCAGGATATGAGTGCATTGCCTTTATTAATAAGTTCTACAAATAAGTCCTCTCTGTGTTCTAGATGGCTCTGATGAAACATAAGGGTCTGTTTGAGCTTCTGGAGATGGAGGGGCGGAGTTTACTGGACTTCGCCTTCCAGTCTTCCAGTGTCACTGAAGGGCGTGGCTACACAGATGCCGCCTCGTTGGCCACCAAGGTTGCTATAGTGACCATGCTGGAGGAACTGGCCCCAAACCTGTGGGAGGACGACCTGGACCGTCTGGTGGACTTTGGCCATTTGATCAGCCCTGAGCTGGAAATGGTGAGAAGAATGTGTTTAAGTTGTGTAAAGATGTCAGGTTAGGTTAAACCCACCTGATGAAATCTATGTTTTTATAAAGGCTAATGCTTAAAGAGGTAATTTGGCAAAAAAAGATCAGATTTACTCTGTTTCCCCCTCTTACCCTTATGTACTTGGCTGAATGTGCAGTCATGTGTAAATGTGTTCATAGTTGTGACATCACAGCCAAGACAAATTCTAAACAGATTTTATCGTCTTTATACAGCACCTTTACTGCATGTAGCGCTTCAGGTCTGTCCTTCAGACTACATTTTTTTCTGTTACAAAAAAACCTCAGAGACTCGAAACTCATCTTAGACTCACACCACAGACACTCAAGACTCAACTCAATCTCGCACCACAGAGCCTCAAGACTCAACTCAGACTCGAACCTCAGAGACTCGAGACTCCACTCAGACTCACACCTCAGAGACTTGAGACTCGACTGGGACTCACACCTCAGAGACTCAAGACTTAACTCAGACTCAAATCTCGTAGATTAGAGACTTTACTCAGACTTGCACCACAGAGACCCGAGACTTGACTCAGATTCACACATTAGACACTTAAGACTCGACTCAGACTCACATCTCAAAGACTCGAGACTCTACTCAGTCTAGCACCTCAGACACTTGAGACTCAAACTCACACCTCAGAGACTCAAGGCTCGACTTATAATCTCAAAGACTCAATACTCAGTTCAGACTCGCACCTTATGCCGGCCTTACACATGCGTCATCTCGATCGTTTGGTAAAGGTGGTCAAGATGGTGGTCTTAAGTCAGTCAAATCTCTGTAAAAAATGGCAATTCAATACAATAATCATATTAACTTAAAATGTAAACTGTCTGTTTTAATATTTCAGGTTCACTGAGCCGGAAACATGTAAGGAAATGTGCAGAGGACTTTAAGAATACCATTATTGAAGAATCATCAATTGTTTTCTATTTTTTTCTGTTTTCTGTTACACTAGTTTCTTATTTTGTTTGTTTGTTTCTTATGGTTTAGTTCATGACACCCGATCGACAATGCTGAATCACTGCATGTTGTGTCGATGTGTAAATCTTTATATCAAATTTAAAAAGTAGCTGCACATTTTTCAGGTTAATTAAAAGATTCTGGGGTGATGATCTGCCAGAGTATACAGTTCTATAGTGAACTGCTCTGAGCCCCAGATCTTTACACACCCAGCCAACGTATCTTCCCATCTGTACCCCTACAGAGTTGAAGGAAAAGTGTTTATCTGCTTGTAAATTTCCACCAGGTGCATTATGGAGAATAATCTCAAAAATCTAGTTGCAAGATTCCTAGTCTTTGCAAAATCATATTCTGTGACTAAAAAACGTGACACTGTCTTTAGATGTGAGAGGGTGTCAGACCTTAGTCTTTCAAAAGTCTTTTCAAAGGCTTCTAGTGTATGGTTAGCATTAGAGACTGCGTACTTGCATCACAAAGACTCAAGGCTTAACTCAGACTCACACCTCAGAGCTTTGAGACTTGACTCACTTAAATCGGACTTTCATCCCATTGACTCAAGAGCTGACTTGGACTCAGACCCCGGAGACTCGATACTTGGCTTGAACTCGCAACTCAGGGACTCGACTCAGACTCTAACTCTAGAGACTCGATTAAGACTGAAACCTCAGAGACTTGGGACTCATCACAGCTTTGATAAGGCTTTTGTGTCTGTGCTGCAGACGGTGCTGCCTGAGCTGCTGCATGGAGAAGCAGTGAACATAGACATGGCCTTTATGCTGTACGTGGCTCAAGAGCGAGGCTTTTTAACAGAAGAAGAAGTGAAGCGCATAATTTCCTGTATGAAACATCTGGAGCTTCCTGTCTGGCATCAGCAGTGCTCTCTGGATCTGGTGCAGAAATCTCTCAGTGAACGGCTCAAACACTCCGGTGGGAAGATGAGGATGCCTCTGCCTACAGGACTAGGCACAGCAGGTGGGTCGAAAATGCACCAGTTTGGACCTTTTTATTTTCCACATTTTAGATGAATAGAGAAAAATATGAAGCAAAGATTGATTAGCTCGAGCCACAAAATCTGAAAATCATTCACATACATACAAGTCTACCTGTCATGATTCTGATTCTGATAAAGTGATTCGGATTGTGATAAAGTGATTCTGAGTCTGATTATTATGTACATAATTATGATTCTGATAAAGTGATTCTGATGAAGTGATTCCGATTCTCACAGAGTGATTCTGATGAAGTGATTCTGATTCTCACAGAGTGATTCTGATTCTGATAAAGTCAAGTCAAGTCAAGTCAGGCTTTATTGTCATTCCAGCTATATACAAGTACACAGTGAAACGAACAACATTCCTCCAGAACCATGGTGGAACACAAATGCGAGACAATACAGTACAATGAACAAATATGAAAAACTTACAATAAATACAAAACAGAACACAGGCAGTACACGGTACTGAGAGTATGTGGAGTTGTGCAAAGGAGGATGTAACATACTATGAGATATTAGTAGCTTAGCAGATAGTCTAGCATATATGAGCATAGCAGTCATTGAGCTAGCAACTAGAGCAGCAATATACAGTATACAGTATTTGGTTGATACAGTAATTCCAGCAGCTAACATTGTCAAAGTGAAGTAAAATGTGCAAAGTCAGATATTGTTGTGGAAATAAAATGTGCAAAAATCCAAGTATTCAGATCTACAGTCATATCAAGTGAAGTGTTTCAGTGAAATGCAGTAACTATATCTATATAGTGTTCCATAATTTGGAACTGCAAGAAGTGGGGAGTGAGTTAGTGTATATGTGTGTGTGGGTCCGTAGGAGTTGAGGAATCTGATGGCTTGTGGAAAGAAACTGTTACACATTCTAGATGTGAGGGCCCGAATGCTGCGGTACCTTCTTCCAGATGGCAGAAGAGAGAACAGATTGTGTGAGGTTCGTGTGAACCCAATTCTACTGGATTTTCAGATGCAGCGTGTGGTGTAAATGTCCGTGATGGAGGGGAGAGAGACCCCGATGATCTTTTCAGCTGTCCTCACTATTCACTGGGGGGTCTTGCGGTCGGAGGCAGTGCAATTCCCAAACCAGACAGTAATTCAGCTCCTCAGGATGGTCTCTGTAGTGCCTCTGTAGAAGGTGGCAAGGATGGTGGGTGGGAGATGAGCTTTCCTTAACTTCCTCAGGAAATAGAGATGCTGCTGGGCTTTCTTGGTTATGAAGCTGGTGTTCAGGGTCCAGGTGATGTTCAGGGTCCAGGTGACGTTCTCCGCTAGGTGAACACCAAGGAACTTGGTGCTTGCAACGATCTCCACAGAGGAGTTGTTGATGGTGAGCGGAGAGTGGTCACTCTGTGCTCTCCTGAAGTCAACAACCATCTCCTTTGTTTTGTCCACATTCAGATGTAGGTTGTTGACATTACACAGTCGTGAGTAAGCAAAGTGAACAGCAGTGGTCTGAGCACACTGCCCCGGGGGTCTCCAGTGCTCAGTGTGATGGTGTTAGAGATGATGCTCCTGATGTTCCCTCAGTAAGAAAGTCCAGGATCCAATTGCAGAGGGAAATGTTCAGGCCCAGCAGGCTCAGCTTTCCAATGAGATGCTGAGGGATGATGGTGTTAAATGCTGAAGTCTATGAACAGCACTCTAACATAAGTGTCCTTTTTCTCAAGATGAGTGAGGGCCAGATGAAGAGTGGTGGCTATGGCGTCATCTGTAGAGAGGTTAGAGCGATATGCAAATTGCAGAGGGTCCAGTGAAGGAGGCAGCTGGGTCTTGATGTGCCTCATTACGAGCCTCTCGAAGCACTTCATGATAATGGGTGTGAGTGCAACGGGACGATAGTCTTTGAGGCAAGACACTGGAATATGAACTCCCGCTAGCTGGTCTGCACATTCCCTGAGCACTCTGCCAGGAATGTTGTCTGGTCCAGCAGCCTTTCGTGGGCTAACTCTGCGCAGAGTTTTCCTCACATCATAACTGTTTCTGATTGTGATTCTCATTCTGAAAAAGTGATTCTGATAAAGTGAGTCTGAGTCTGATTATTATAAACATGACTCTGATTCTGATAAAGTGGTTCTGATTTGAATATTTATAAAGGTATTCTGATTCTGACAAAGTAAATCTAATTTTGATTCTTGAGTTATTCTCATTCTTATTAAAAAAGTGGTTCTGATAAGGTGATTCTGATTTTGATCAAGTGATTCTGATGGTGATTCTCATTCTGATCAAGTGATTCTGATTTTGATCAAGGGATTCTGATTGTGATTCTTATTCTGATAAAGCGATTCTGATTCTGATAAAGTGATTTTGATTGTGATTCTGATAAAGTGATTCTGATTGTGATTCTGATAAAGTGACTCATTCTCAGAAAGTGATTCTGATTTTGATCAAGTGATTCTGATTGTAATTCTCATTCTGATAAAGTGATTCTGATTGTGATTCTCATTCTGATAAAGTGACTCATAAAGTGATTCTGATGTTTTTTCTAATTATGATTCTGTTAAAGTTATTTTGATGGTGTTAAAGTGATTTTGAAGGGTTTTCTTTGTTTTTACTTTTTCCACTATCATTTTCATGAAGGCAAGAAAACTATGAAATAAGACATACGGAATTGTGCATTGACCAAAAAAGTTTTCAACAAAACAAAACAATGACCACACACATTTGGTGGAAGACGATGGTGAGACAACATAAATTCTTTTGCAGGTTAATGTAATATAAATTGACGCTGCTCTGATGAGACTATTAATATTTGAATTTGCGCTGTATTAGATAGTAATGTATATCATAATCACCATAATATGTCCTGTGTTTCAGAAATCTTCAATGACACGGATAGCACCACCTTGTGCCAAGCGTTCAAGAAATGGTGTGAAGAGCTTGGCACTGGACATTAAGACCACTGCCTGAAACTTGAAAAATAAATAAATAAATAGATGCATTAATTAGTTTATGCTACATTTAGCTTATTAAAATGCTCTTTTAGTCTATAATAAAGGAGCTACATGATCCAAAACAGTAAAGATTTACAACATATGAACGGATCTGGTTCATTTGAACTGAATCTTTTAATAAACTAAAAATGATGAAAACAAAATGATTCACAAATTCAACTGAATCGAATGATTTTGGAGAATCTAGGCAATGTGAACTTCCAGGACATCACAACATAAACACCACAATTGTGTATGAGGAACAGCATCCTTTTATATGAAGGAGATAAATACAATTAAACTTGACTTGTGAATCAGTGAAACAACTGACATTTGATTCACTAAAAACTCACTGTTTGAAAGAATCACGCCAGTAAACTTTCTGTAGTATCTGTGTGAACCAAATAAAACTGTAACAGAATACCACAATGTAATGTATTAATGCAGATTTCCACAGTTTTTTTTTCATTTGTTTGTTTGTTTCTGCATAATTCAGTGTGTGAGGTGTAAACAGGGTGATTCAGAGTGGCTTGGTGTGAAATGGTTCAGATTTCTATACAGTGGTGGTGATAGCAACCAGGGGTCACCATGACTACAACACAAATCTAGACATTTTATTTAATATCCAAAACCACCAGTGAACCTACACGTTCTGAGTTTTGTATGGAATGTTGTTGATGGGAAAATAGTGGACAAATCTGAAATAATAAGTTTTCTTTGGGACTATTTTACCTCACAACATCCTGCATATTATATATCACTCCACTGTGAATGGATTTTAAGGCCAAAATCTCAGACATCAGGCAGTGCATTCATCACCATTTCATGTAATAACTGTGAGGGAGATTTTAGAGGTGGACGTCTGGTTCCTATCACCACCACTGTGAACAATTCTGTCTCGGCAAGTTTCTCTAGAACAGAGCATTTCACACCAAACCACTCTGAATGACTCTGTTTACATCATAACCACTTAATAATGGAGAACATTTTGGAATTCCTCCTTGGGAACAACTTCTTTGGGCCATAATTCAGTGTATATGAAGAAGAATAAATTTGCCTTGCGAATCAGCGAATCATTTGTAAGTTTGAATCATTAAAAGAGACAGTTTGAAAGAAGAAGCAATTCAGCAAATTGAATCAGACTTTACATTTTTTAGGTTTCTACTAATGACTCAAAAGAAAAATCTGTATATCACACATACCATTTACACACCAACACAATAATATTATAAAATATTTGAAACTGAGCCACCTAAACATTTTAATCAACAAAAATAACCTTTGCACACAGTGTGAAAACCATTCAAGACTTTAATGTTTGAAACATGTTTAAAACCCATCGCTAATGAACACACTGAAAACCAAATGCACTTATCAATCATTAAACCAAACGCTTACAAAGCTCCACCCGTGGCACTATTCACCACGTTATAGTGGCCTTTTTTGTCTGAATCCCAGAGTCTGATTCGTTAGATATGTAAATCGCAGGCTGGCTTTATAATGTTAAAAAGGCAAAATACAATTTTCAGATGCATTTCGTAAATGCAATTTCAAAAAGCGAAGGGCAAGCATACCTCTTTCAAGGAAATTCAACCAAAAATCACTATGAACAGGCCTCATTATAAATTACAGTTAGTAAGGTTTCACTAATATACCAGGACAAAGAGAAAACTATTTGTTCAGTGTAAATTTTAGTTTATTTGTATGTTTAAAGGGCCCATATCATGGAGTTTTTTTCTTTCCTTTTTTATAACGAAAGCGCTTGATGTAGTATGTAAACACAGAAGTTTCAGATCATACCGTTCACTCCTCAGTCCATAAAGTCTGTATGTGGAAGATAAGCTGCAAATACAGCCTGTTTTGAATTGTGATGTCACAGAAAAACAACACATTTACGTATATCCAACCATTTAGCCCACAGCAGTTTAACCCCACCCATTCACACTGAAGTTATAAGGAGTGTTTCAGCCCGGGCTGCTTTTTGAAAGAGACATAGCCAATCAGAACTGAGCTTATTTACATATATCAGTCTCAAAGGCACAGTAACAAGATTTTTACAAATAAAACCACAAAAATAAGTCGACCTTGTATAAAATCCAGATATGGGCCCTAATATACAAATTTTAAGGCCAAATGAATATGTTTAACCAGTTTCTGTACTATTTTACCTTTAAGCATATTTTTCAGCTCTGTGCTTCTCTAAGCTTTAACTAGTAATCTCACCACAATAAAGCGATAATTTGGCAAAAAAAGTCCTCAAAACAAATTCGCCACCCTTAGCTCAAATGTAATCAGTCAGCCAAGACATGTTTGGTGTTTTAAAGTTAGCTGGCTAAACAGGAAATCCTGCTTCATGAGACAGACTTCTGTCCGGTGTCTGAAGTTTGCTTCTATAGTTTTAGCACTGGAGGTCTGAGGCTAATGTAAGTAACAAGTAATGCGAGCCACCAACTAGCCTGGTGAGAAAACATTAGCAAGTAACATGAGCTAGTATGACACACTGTTATCTATAAACATGGACTAAAGAACATTAGCACAGCAGTAGCAGCCACCTGGAAGAGTTTTGTTTGTAAATGACTTAGCGACACCAGTTTTTTTGATTATTTACATGCAGTTAGCTTCCATTACTTATTAGCTACATTAGCCTCATAGCTCCAGTGTTAAAAGTATAGAAGCAAACGTCAGACACTGAACAGGGGTCTGTCTCATGAAGCAGGATTCCCTGTTTAGCCAGCTAACTTTAAGCTTACTTTTTTAGTTTGATCTAAGCCTCTTACCAATTAGGGACAGCCTTCTGACCAATCAGGGACCTTCTGACCAATCAGGGACAGATTCTTGATCGATTAGGGGCCTTCTGACCAATCAGGGACAGCCTTCAGACCAATCAGGGACCTTCTGACCAATCAGGGACAGATTCTTGATCGATCAGGGGCCTTCTGACCAATCAGAGACAGCCTTCTGACCAATCAGGGACCTTCTGACCAATCAGGGACAGATTCTTGATCGATCAGGGGCCTTCTGACCAATCAGGGACAGCCCTCTGACCAATCAGGGACCTTCTGACCAATTGGTGGGGACAGATGTTGGACCAATCAGGGACCTTATGACCAATCAGGAACAGTCTTCTAACCAATCAGGGACATTCTGACCAATCGGAGACCTTCTGACCAATTGGGGACAGATTTTGTGCCAATCAGGGACCTCCTGACCGATCAGGAACAGTCTCCAAACCAATCAGGGACATTCTGACCTATTGGGGATAGCTTTTGGACCAATCAGGGACAGCCCTCTGATGGAAATGTACTCTTTGGATCCTTTTTGGGTGACTTTTTTCACTTTTCGCTTTTCAGTAAAGAAAATAAAGCAGCTGCTTTATCACACATGCAATCACACATGGGTGTCACACAGTCTCTCTGCATGAAACCTGATTGCCACGATCCTGAAATTAATGCTAAAAATTACTAAAAATTACGATGACTGACTCGGCTAACGATCCACAAGAGGACACTCAGTATTTTAATTGCATATTCAGACACTACTTTAGTTTTGGCAACACATTCTGGCAGTCAACACTGTATTAGGTTACATTCTGAAAAAAAACATTCAGTAGTATTTTCCTTCCGGCAGGACTAGTTATAAAGTAACTGGAGTCTCCTATGTCTGGACGCTGGAAAGTTTGGGGACTTGTGACGTTTTAAAATAGTTTTAATGCAAACTGCTTTCTCGTATTGCTGTAAGAGACTGTATTAAAGGGCCCATATCATTGATAAACTGTCTTTGCCCTGCCCTTTAGAAAATTTTATGTAGTATGTAAACATTGCTAAAGTTTAAAAAAGCAACAGTCTAAAATGCTACAACAAGCCATATTGAATCTGCAGTTTTTGTGATGTCACAAAACCCAAAGCATTCATACATATCTATATATCTATATGCCTGCCTATTCGGCCTACAGCAGTTCACGCTGAAGTTATAAGGAGTGTTTCAACCAAGGAGCGCAGCCAATGAGAACAGAGCTCATTTGCATACGTCTTAAAGGCACAGCAACAAAAACAGCCTGTTTATTTCTAAGGGATCTAAGGGTCATGTAAAAATTTATTTTGTATGACTGTACACACTTAAAAAAGATTTTTCAAGGGTTCTTTAATAAAGAAAATGGTTCTGTATAGAATTATGAACGCTCAAAAAACTTTTCAAAAAGGTGCTATATAGAGCTATGTATAAAACATTCTCCATCAATCTGAAGAATGCTTTCATGATGCAAAGAACCATTTAAGCATGCAAAGAGTTCTTTGAGTGTTCATGGTTCTATAGAGAACCATTTCTTTACTAAAGAACCCCTGAAGAACCATCTTGTGTACATACAATTAAATGAAAAAATGTATGATATGGACTCTTTAATAGCAGTTTGGGAAAGAAAACTAAGACCTGCTCATCAAATTCAGGAAGATTTAAAAAAAAAAACTGTGATAATATTATTTGGAAAACTGCAAAATAATGCAAGGTGTCCCCAAACTTCAGATAAGCACTGTACATCCACAAAAAACTCCCATAAAGGTCAGAGAAAACATTCCGTAAGTAGGATTACAGTTTAAGGCACAGCTTTGTGGTTTAACTCTGGCCTCCGTTTCGATTGCTGTGTGCAAGACGATGCTTCGTTCTTCAGAAGTGCACTGAGAAAGTGCTGCACTGAATTACTGCACTCAAATGTGCACAAATTTCATTTACAATACTTTAAATATAGAAAGTGTCTATCCAAAAAAGTCTGTAAACTCCAGAAATGAAGGGTGTTAATAGTGAGTTTGTGCTGCAGTAACAGCCTCTACTCTTCTGAGAAGGCTTCTACATGTTGGAACATTGCTGTGAGGATTTGATAGAGCATTAGTGAGGTCAAGTACCGATGTTGGACGGTCAGTTCTGGTTCACTTCAACTCATCCCAAAGGTATTGGATGGAGCTCCATCACTCCAGAGAACAGTTCCACTGCTCCTCAGCCCAATGCTGGGGGGCTTTATACACCTCTAGCCTACGCTTGGCATTGGGCATGGTGACCAAGCGTCTCATGCTATTGGTCAGTGCTTTTCTATGAAGGTTATACGAGCTGTGTCAGCAATGAGTGACCTTAAAGCTGAATTCATGGACATATAGTGTAGGTTTAGTGATTTGGAGCCCCCTCTGGTGGAAAACTATAACTATAAATATATAACTGTGGCTACATCAGGACTTCTTTAATCTGCACTTAACACTTTTATAATAATAATAATAATTATAATAATAATAATATAGAAGAAGAAAAAGACGCATTCACCATACATAATAAATAAAGATGTAAATGTGACAAAGCCAATTCTATTATTATTATTATTATTATTACCATTATTATTATTGTCATCTTACAAGAAAGCCATACTTTTCTAATGCACATTTAAAAGTTATACAATGCTGCAGATTATTAGATACAGTAGAATGAATGCACCCTGGTTTTGGGGATTTGGTGGCCCTCTCTGGTGGAAATATGTAACTACAAG